TAACACCTACTCTCTATATCTCAGAAAGCCTAATATTCAACTGAACATTAAGCAAATTGAATCAGAGTCAAAATAATGATTGTAGTGAAGTCTCGCTTTCCTTAGCAAACCACATGGCCACAGGGACCCAAATGACATTTTCTTGACTCTCTTGCAGATTGATGAGAGTTGCCAATAGAAGCGCAAAAAGAGCTGTTACTGAGAACTTGAGCAAAGAGGGTTCCGCATAGTGCAGACAAATGTGCACAAGGATCAGCACCATGAACAAACCGGAACTGCACTAAACTCAGCACTGATGGCTTAGGGAGAAAGTGGCCGTGACCAAGGGCAACAGAGCCTGAGACACCATGTGGTCAGAGCACAGCTGTTTAGATGCAATCCAAATCTGTAAAAACCATGAGTACGGTGCTGGCATTTTAATGATTTTCCAGTACTCCTACAGCTTGTCTGGAGCGTGTTTACGAGCTGCACTTGAAAGAAACTCAGAGGGAGAGCAGCCACATGGGCCAGCCACTGAAAAATGTGTCCTGAGTTCTAAGGAAAAAAATTCTCTCATTCCTAGCTGCATAACACCTTGTGACCTAGTCTGAACAGGCTATTCTTGCCAGCCTACCCAGCTGTCTTGCCTCCTACTCTCAGCTTCCTCCACCATGCTTAGAAGTCCTACTAATAGGTCAGCACTTACTTGCACCCTTGCCAGACCAAGCCACTGATTAGGGTAATGATAAGATGGACAAGAAGAAATTTCAGGTAGCGTACGAGATTCATAAAAACTAAACAGGCCTTATCTTCTGAAATTAAATTGGTCAGAGGACCATTATGTGCTTGCATTTTTCCATGCTTTCTGGGATTTAGATACCAGGCCCATATTCAAGTTTAATTATTTTTTGCAAAGATCCTCACAACCAGTGATACAAGTGGAATCCATTTCTTACTGGTACGCCCCTCCCCTCCATGGGGGGGCACATGACCTCCTCATGTGACCCTCCATGTGACTCAACACCCCGCCCTCAGCCCAGGGCCCCTACTTCTCCCCATCCCTGCCCCATGATCCACCCCCCTTATCTTGGGGCTGGGAGGGATGGTCTCTATCCTTCTTCCGCTGTGCTGGAGACTCCCCTCTGTACAGCAGCCAGCCCCGCAGGAGGACAGGACTGGGGGCAGTACAACAGCCACACCAGAGGAGCTGCCGGCATGGGACCGCCCGGGAGCCCCATGTTTGGCTCCTTTCCCAGCTGGGGTTCCAGGGAGAGCCCTGCGGTTCAGGGCTCTCCCGGGAACCACAGCAGGGAAAGGAGCAGAACACCTGCAGCATCGCCAGCAGCTGTACCTCCCCCAGCCCTGTCCACCAGTGGGGCTGGCTGCTGGACAGAGAGAAGAGACCCTGCATGGAAGGGCTGGGGCAGTACAGCTGCACCGGAGGAGCTGCCAGCGTGGGGCCGCCCAGCAGCCCCACAATCTGCTCCTCTTTCCGGTGCGCCATACCAGCTATAAATATCTTGCTGGTACTGTGTACTGGAGCAGACCGCCCTACTTGCACTGCTGCTCACAACACGCTGGTCCACCTAGAATTTGCCGATATTGCACGTCCCATGGTTAGGGACAGCCTCTCTTGAGTGCACGCCTCAGGTGACAGAGCTAGCTTCCTGCACCTTGTTCTGAGTGGAATCACACTGTCCAGCCACTCTGAGACTGGGTCTCTAGGCTGCAGGCCCCTTCCCCAACCCCAGATTTCTCAACCTGCTAGCTAAACAGCCCCAGTTGAGTTTGGCACTTGTAAACCTTTTCCCTTCAGGTGTCCACGACAATATAAGTTTGAAGTGACCCAGAAACAGCGTCTTCAAAACAAAGCATTATTCATTCACCCAAAGGTAGAAAGCACACAGAGCAAAGGGCTAAAGAGCAAAGAGTCCCACACCTATATTGTCCCTTACCTACACTTTAATCTTTCCTTGAACATTTTTGTAAATTCCCCTTAACCCAGCTAACTCCCATCTCTAGCTGGGAGGAGCAGACTCTCCTGCCTGCAGCATGCGGTCTTTGCCTATGTGTCTCTCCTTGTCTGACTGTTAGCTCTCCCTGACACTCCCTGGGCAGCCCCCTCTCATTCCCATGGGAAGCATCTTTAAGATTCTGGGACCCCCTTTGATCCTAGGCCTTCAGCCTTATGATGAGTAAACTATGCAGCCTGGTGGGAGCCAAGCAGGGCCATTCCCTAATTAAAAGTTTACCCCCCCTTAATCCGTTAAGGAGCCACTATTTTGGTTGCTATCTACATGAAGATCGCTATCTTAAAACAAAAAAACTTCGACTCCAGCGAGAAACTGCTGAATTGGAATTCATTTGCAAATTGGATACTATTAATTTAGGCTTAAATAGAGACTGGGAGTGGCTAAGTCATTATTCAAGGTAGCCTGTTTCCTCTTGTTTTTTCCTACCCCCCCCCCGATGTTCTGGTTTAACTTGGATTTAAACTTGGAGAGTGGTCAGTTTAGATGAGCTATTACCAGCAGGAGAGTGAGTTTGTGTGTGTATGGGGGTGGGGGGGATGTGAGAAAACCTGGATCTATGCAGGAAATAGCCCGACTTGATTATGTAAAGAGTTGTCACTTTGGATGGGCTAGCACCAGCAGGAGAGTGAATTTGTGTGGGGGGTGGAGGGTGAGAAAACCTGGATTTGTGCTGGAAATGGCCCACCTGTTGATCACTTTAGATAAGCTATTACCAGCAGGACAGTGGGGTGGGAGGAGGTATTGTTTCATATTCTCTGTGTGTATATAAAGTCTGCTGCAGTTTCCACGGTATACATCTGATGAAGTGAGCTGTAGCTCACGAAAGCTCATGCTCAAATAAATTGGTTAGTCTCTAAGGTGCCACAAGTACTCCTTTTCTATTTTGGTTCCTGTTTGCTTCCTCTTAACACCCTCTTTGATTTAACTCCTGGCATTTGGGCAGGTTAATATCAGACATAACCTGAGGGGCAAATTATATTTATAAATAAAACCCTACATATAACTCCCTCATTCTTCACAGTGATGCAGATAAAGCACAAGAGGGAAATGGATAACTATAAAACAAATAAGGAAATAAAGAAGTTGGGTGACTGTGACAGTATCTCCAATGTTCTGAAATGTAATGGATGCAAGTGTAGGAAGCTGATGTAAGCAGAGTCAGGATGAGCTCTACCCTGACATCTGGTGGTGAATTGTGGCAAGTTGTGGAAAAGAACTTCAGGGGCTGATCTCATTTGCATAGGCACACCCTCCCAGCCTAGCATGAGCCCATAGCTGCCCAAATGGTCATTTTGGCTGCTGTGGGATCCCCAGTTTCTCTGTTATTGAGGCAGGAAGAATAAATTATTATCCTGATTATGTGAATCAAAGTCAGTGGAACTATACTTGGCCTTTTGTTATGATGGAGGGACTTGCCATCAACTAAGTAGCACTCGTTAGGCAAGGAACATGGGTTCCAAAACTCAGTGAATTGAGAGAGGCTGAGGACAGGTATTAATACCTGGTGGTATGGGCCCCTTACACTAATTGCACTTCCTCCTCTCTCCACTGTGGAATATCAGAGCTAATTTTGATTCCATTTGGAGTCTAGTTACAGGCTGCTGAGCTGAATTCACTTTGGGCCAATGGTGCACCAGCACTGAGGCTCCCCTACTACAAGCTGAAATCACAAAAGAGCTAAACTTACTAAGAGCTGAAATCATGGAGTGTTGTGTTAAGTAGTGGGGGAGCCTGAAGATATATTGTGGAGCAGTTTGCGGGACAGCTGGCAGAGCAGAGCGGCTCTTGGAGCAGAGCAGTTTGCGGAACAGCTGGAGCGGCTCATGGGATGGCTGGCAGAGCAGAGTGGCTGGTGAAGCGGAGCAGTTTGTGGGATGACTGCAGTGTGGAGTGGAGTGTGGAGTGGAGCAGAGCCGCATGGAGAGGTGGGGCAATTGGCTTTGGACCCCTTAACCCCCCCCTCCCATCTCCACCCAGGTTGGGAGGTAAAACTCTGCAGATAAACTTTCGAACTCTGGTGCTGCACTGACCAGGGACAAAAAGAAAAGGAGTACTTGTGGCACCTTAGAGACTAACAAATTTATTTGAGCATAAGCTTTCGTGAGCTACAGCTCACTTCATCGGATGCATCTTTTCTTTTTGCGAATACAGACTAACACGGCTGCTACTCTGAAACCTGACCAGGGACAGAGACTTTTGGGTTGTTGGACTTTTGTGACTTTGGGTTGCTGGACTCAAAAACCAAAGGGAAAGGATATGCCCCAATTTGCTTGGGGTGGGTTTTTTGCTCATGGGTTGTGTTATGAATCCTGTTGATGGTGTTTCCACAACATAATGCCACATTGTTTCTCTATGTTATTAAAAGGCTTTTGCTACACTCAGACTCTGTGCTTGCGAGAGGGGAAGTATTGCCTCATGGAAGCGCCCAGCGGGGGTGGTATATATTTGTCCCAGGTCACTGGGTGGGGGCTCGAGCCGGTTTTGCATTGTGTTATTGGAATGGAACCCCTAGATACTGAACCCGGCCCTTCTTGCTGCCAACTCTGATGGGCAGAAGGGTTATAGTTATTTTCAATAAATCTGAATAAAGATATTTTACAGAAATATTACTCTGATTTTATTCATTTCCACATGAAGGACTCAGGAGCATAATGTGGTGTAACCTCAGATTTTATATTTTTGACATTTAACGAGACTCAAATAGGCTATTGATTAATGTGGCGAAAGCCTTGACACAATAATCATTTTTCCAAGGACAGCCTGCTAGAGAAAGTTCTTGTATGCAGTTCAATTTCTGCGAGACGTTGGCAATTTGAGCACATACTTTACACTATCTTTCTATCCACACCTACTTTCATCTCACAAGACATAATCTTTCTATTGGTTTGAAATTTCAAGTATTTTTCAGTAGTAAGCAACTACCAAAATATCTGTTAAATGCTTTCTTAGAATTGACTGGAAATATAAATGTGTTTCATTATCATTTACCTTATCATTGACTACGCTTTTTCCATCCCATGCCCATCCTCGTTTTGTGAAGTAATTTACAGTGGCAAATTCTATCAATGCAGAGAATACAAATGCATAACAAACAGCAATAAACCAATCCATGGCTGTTGCATAAGCTACTTTTGGGAGGGAATTTCGTGCACTGATGCTCAACGTTGTCATTGTCAACACAGTTGTTACTCCTGTAAAGGGTGGAAAAAAAGAAAATGTCGGCAATTTTAACTGAATTTTGAAATTGAATAAGATTGAGAACAGGAACATCTTACAGTACATTTCTAAGAATTATAAAAATGTTTACATAATGTTCATATAGTATGGTGGCATACTAGATGCACCATATGGAAGGTGGCAGCAGAATTTTCCTTTGTAACCTAGTTTTGATTCACTTTTTTTTTAAATAAAATTTTGGTGAAAAATGTCTGAAGATACAGTCTTGAAAATACATACAGATTTTTTTTTTCATTTTTTGATCAATCAGACTTTTGGGAGAAAACCCCACAGCGAGGCAACTAAATTAACTAGTTTGCTTTATGGAATGTGTCAAATCACTTTGCAGCAGTATAGCAAAAAGGACATGTTGATGAGCATTTGCAGTGCCAATAATCCCTGCCTCCTCAGTTTCCTGCCCAGTTTCCCAACCAGCGAACCCAAGGGATGGTCAACTTTTCTGAGGTCAGCCTGGCTTCAACTGCATTGCAAACAATGGAAAAGAATTAATGGCTAACTTTCCAAGGAGTAGTCTTTTGTGTCCACTGTCAAAGACTATACATGTTTGGCAGCCATTCTGACTAAGTACAGCCTGTGGTTTCACTCCCATGGGGGACAATAGGAGATTGCAGGTATCTTTGCTAGTGGCTGTCTCACTTCCACGTACAATTATTAAGTGAGGTAAGCTGGTCAATTTCTCACTGAGGTAAAACGGATAATATTATAGTACGACAAATTAATTGAAACTTTCAGATCTACTATTTGTATTTAAACACTGAACAAAACAGGGAAAACAAACAAAAATACTTTGCGCTTCATGAAACCCCAATAGTGGAAGATAAAGCCATACTCAAAACAATACAAAAAACAGGATATATAGAAAAAAGCCATATACCAATATAAATCCACCCATTGACACAAATACACCAACAATTCCCCTAGTAAATCAACCCTACCCAACCAGAGTCACCAAAGTTACACTCAGGCACCCTTAACTCTTCCATCTCTGGAATGCCATTAAAAATGTGTCTCTCTCCTGGATAAGAAACAATACAAAGTTGTACACATACCAGAGATAAATATATCCACACTAATATTGACATGTAGTCAAAAGAGCCTCAGTGACAAAAAAAGAATTACTAATAGCATCTCATAGCTCACAATTCAAATATTACAAACAAAAAATATTTGTTATAACTGGTTACAGTTGCTAAGAGGAAATAAAACCAGATCCCTAAAAGAGCAGCAATAAATATTAACTTCACAGGATTACAGGAAGGAATATCAGCATCAAACAAAGAATGGAGAATTCTGAGAGAAACTCAGCAAGATCCTCCATCACTGGAAATCAGTAGTCCAGGCTTTGCAGAATGGGGCTCCACCATGTATGTTTCCTCTACTGGCAAGGTACTTTTAAGCACCATTGGGAAAGGAAAGGAAGCAGAGAGTGGGTCTGTTCAGTCCCCTTCTGCCTTTGCTGTCTCTGTCCCCCATCAGACCCTAAGCAAGGAATCTCATTCTCTGAGAGGATTGTGAAGGGAAAAGGAGGCTAGGCAGAAAAGCTCCATTCTTCTCTTCCCTGCAGTGATTAAGAGGACTTCTCTAGAAGTTTATTGCTTATTGCACATAGTTTCCAGGCATCAGGCCACACATCAGATATTTCTATTTTTAGAATCCACCTATTAGGGAGGTAGCAATAGTTACAAAATCAACAGCAATACTGTTGTGTCAGGTGGGTGCTATCCCACTGTACACCGTGCAATGCAGAATAAATACTTTATGAAAACATGCTGATATGCATTAAATGCTTGTTCAAGCATTTATTTCCCTTCTTAGATTTCTATTATCTGGCTCAAAGAACTTTGCTGATTACTTTTGATTCCTTCCCCAAAAGAGAGAAGGGGACACCACACCTTAAACTTAGAAGTAATACATACAAACTGTACTACTATTCAGGTAATTAAGATAAATCAATTTCATTATACACAGGTATCAATGAAGTAATTGCTTCTCAAAGATAAGATGACAGGAACTCCTCTATAAATATATACAGCAGCCAACAATGTTCTGTTTAATTCATAATGTTTGGAGAAGACTAATTTTCTTGAAGCCACATCGGCTTCTTCAGAATTCTAATTCAAGATTTGTTGGTGACCTTTTCTAGTCTTGTTTTAAATGTCATTAGTTTACATCCTATAAACTGCTACTGGTTGCCAGTTCCTCTAAAATGTTCAGCTGCACACTTTGCATCCCAAACCCTATTCAAATTGCAAAATCACCAAACAGCTGTTAATGAAGGTTTCTGGACTTTTATTTATCTATTCAATAAATTGAATGATGTCCAAGTGATCACATTTGTATAACCTGGACTGAATGAAGAAAAAAATAAAGGTAGGTTTCAGAGTAACAGCCGTGTTAGTCTGTATTCGCAAAAAGAAAAGGAGTACTTGTGGCACCTTAGAGACTAACCAATTTATTTGAGCATGAGCTTTCGTGAGCTACAGCTCACTTCATTGGATCACATTGCATCCGATGAAGTGAGCTGTAGCTCACGAAAGCTCATGCTCAAATAAATTGGTTAGTCTCTAAGGTGCTACAAGTACTCCTTTTCTTTTTTGAAAAAAATAAAGAGAATTTATATTGCAATGCCAGATTTCCAATGTGGAAATCTGTGGCATTCTGTTCTTCAATCAACAGACAACAGATTTTGAATTATTAGGATTAATGAAAATGTAAAAACCTTCTGCATTATAAGGTCTCCCTTAGGGCAAAGCATTGTATAAAGAGAATTTACCTATTTCTCACTGTTGGACCTACTATGACTGAAAAAATCAGTAATGCTGAGGAATCAGGCCTAACTAGTGTAAAAGGAAGCACATATATTTCATGTACTATACAAAGATGGAAGAAAATTCACATCTGTACATTAGCAAGCACATAGAATGCATGTTGCTCTAAACAGTATATTAAGGGTCTGATTTTCCATTCCATTACCCAAGTTTTAATTTAAGAGAAGAAACACTGGTGTAACACTGGTGTGAGAGTCATGAGTGGATGGGCCCTCTGGTAAGTAACACAGACAACACCTCTTTTGAGGAAAGCAGTCTCCTGCCTTCAATCATGCAACAGTCTGAACAATGCTACCAACTCAACAAGCCTCATAACCATTGCCCAATGACTAATCACTCTTTCATAAGAGAGAAGGTTGATAAGGAGATGAACAGTCTCCAACTACACCTGACCTCAGGCAATAATATCCTAACCCTTTCTCAATCATGTTGCAGATATGGCACCAAATCAATGGCAAGAAACGCTTCTTTTCTTTTATGTCAGACTGTAAGATGGCCACAAACAGTGACAGACAAAACCTTAATTTTGGCATTTTCTAATTTTACTGTTTAAAATATGGTTCTAGTCTATAAAAATGACATTGTGGGATTTCATGTTTAATTGTTTCAATGATTTTATGTCAAATATACTTAGTTTATAAGTATGAAGATGTCTTTTCTAACTGTCAGCCCTGCAAACCCAATCTGTGATTTGAAAACCAAGCTGTTTTTTTCCTTTCTTGTGCCTCACAACCAGTAATAAAGGTTTTCCAGGCCAAATACTTCCCTCATTTATACTTGTGCAGCAGCCCCATCACCTATCCATTCCTGCACTTGGGCAGTGATTCTTTTAAAGAAGTGTATCTGCAATAGGGATATTATATGATTGCAATGGGAGTGGAATGTGGTTTACGCTACTGCATATAGGACAGGAGATGGTTTAGGAGAAAATCTTGCTATTAAAAAGTATTCCACCTTGTAAACATTTTGAGCAGCTCTGTATTAGTCTGAACCCTATCTATATCTTAGCATTACATGCATGAACTAACAGATGTAGCTCCAAATCAGAAATCAAATAAAAATAAAAATTAGTACTGATGCATAGAAATGAGCATCAAATGGTCCTTGGCCCCAAAAGACAGACTGGATGGCCTTTCTTCCCTCTCCTATTCAGTGTACAGGAGACGGACTCACAATGTCCTAGAATTCAATATCAACTCATTTCAGTTTAATTTCTAGTACAAATATGAATACTCGAGAGTGCCCTCAATACACTGGACATGTGAATAACTACTACAGTAAATAAAGCTAGCTGAAGTGCAAAAACATTATATGCAACTTCCTTTTGATGCTCCTCACTTTGCCTTTTCTGAAGGTGATTGGAATAGTGCTAGAGGAGCTCGCAGGAGCTGTACCACCCCAAAATTTGCCTTAGTCTTCCCGTAGCCACTCCTCCCAGAGCAACGGGTACAGCACTGGATTAGCCACTGGGCCCAGGCCCAGGGGCCTCAGCCAACTGGGAGGCCACTAGCTTCTCTTGCCCACCGGGTGGGGTGGGGGAAGCCCCTGTGTCCCCCAATCCTATAGCCGGCAGAAGCCGCGGGATGGGGGAAGACCCCTGCAGCATCCACCCCACCCGTCCCCAGCAGAAGCCATGGGATGAGGGAAGTCCCCCAGCAACCCCCAGTTTTGCCTCCAGCAGAGAAAGCCCGCTGTACTCCGACCCCGTTCCTGGCAGAAGCTCCGGGGTGGCAGGGGAAGCACCTGTGCCTTACCCAGCTCTCTGGCAGAAGCGCCAGGCAGGTGGGGAGGGAGGAGCCCCAGAGCCCTGACCCTCGTCCCCTGCAGAACCGTGGCGGGTGGCAGTGGAAGCCCCAGCACCCGGACCCCCACTGCGTCCCTGGGACTAGAGGACCTCTGGCTCCCCACTATGGCCCCATGGCCATGGTGCAGGGACAAAGCTTCTCTAGTCTTGGGGCTCGGGGGGTTGGGGGGCAGAAAGGAGCAAACAGGTTGTAGGGTGGGCAGAATTTGGGGGCCCCTGGGTGGAACAGGGGCAGGGTCCTTGGGAAAGAGCAGAAAGGGGTGGGGCTGTGGGCAGCACCACAGGCAGAAGGGGCAGAACAGGGGAGGGCACCGCAGACAGAAGGGGTGGGGAGGGGCCCCTCACTTGCTCTGGCCCAGGGCCCCAGGAAACCTTAATCTGCCTCTGAACCACGCCACCCTTACTTCTGTTCTGTCGCTGATGCCGGCACTGCCTTCAGAGCTGGGCGCCCAGCCAGCAGCTGCTGCTCTCCAGCCACTCGGCTGCGAAGGCAGAGCGAACAGAACGGCAGCTGCTGCCTTCAAAGCTCAGTGGCCGGAGAGCAGCGGCTGCTGGCCGGGCGCCCAGCTCTGAAGGTAGTGCTGCCACTATCAGCGGCACAGAAATAAGGGTGGCAATGCCATGCTAGGCTAGTAGAAAATATTATTATAAAGATACTCAATTATATCTATGGAATAGCAAAGAAGAAATATTCTTACAGAAACATAAAATACCTTGGCTAACATTTTCAAATGTAGGCATCTAACTCCATATTAGACAAATAAGTGATCTCATTTTCAAAGGGTAATAATATTTTCCCTTTTATTCATAAGCACGGTTTACTTCTAAATCAATAAATCACACTAGCAGGACATAAATGGAACTCTGAACGCTAAGGTACTTAAGAAACTATCTGAAGCAATCTCAGAAACATTAGTGATTGATCAATTTAGAGAACTCACGGAGGATGGGTGAGGTCCCAAAGGACTGAAAAATGGAAAACATAGTGCCTGTCTTTAAAATGGGAAACAAAGAGGACTCAAGGAATTATAGATCAGTCAGTCTAACTTTGATACATGGAAAGATAATGAAACAAAATATTTTAAAAATCCACTTGTAAACACCTAGAGAATAACAGGGTAATAAGGAATAGCCAACATGAACTTGTCAAAAACAAATCATGCCAAACCAGCCTAATTCCTTTCTTTGACCAGATTAATGACCTTGTGGATGGGAGGGAGGGGGGAATTGTAGGTGTCATACATCTTGATTTTAGTAAGGCTTTTGTCACAGCCTCGTGACTAGACAAAATTACTCTAAGGTGGGTGCACAACTGCTTGAAGAATTATACTAGAAGAGTAGTTATCAATGGTTCGCTATCAAACTGGTAGGACTCATCTAACAAGGTCTCACAGGGGTCTGTCCTTAGTTTGGTGCTATTTAATGTTTTCATTAATGATTTGGACAATGAAGTGGAGAATATGCTTACAAAGTTGTGTATGGAACCAAGCTAGCACTTTGGAGGACAGGATTAGAATTGAAAATGATGTTAACAAATTGGAGAATTGGAATGAAATCAGCAAGATGAAATTCAACAAAGATGGAAAGTACTTCACTTAGGAAGGAACTACAAAATGGGGAATAACTGGCTAGGCAATAGTACTTCTGAAAAAGATCTGGGAGTTACAGTGGATCACAAATTGAATATTAATCAACAAGGGGATGCAGTTGCAAAAACAGCTAATATTCTGAGGTGTATTAACTGGAGCGTCATATGTAATACACAGGAAGTAATGGTCTTTACTTAGCACTGGTGAGGCCTCAGCTGGAGTACAATGACCAATTCTGGGTGCCACACTTAAGGAACAATGTGGAGACAGTCCAGAGAACAGCAACAAAAACGATAAAAGGGTTAGAAAACCTGACCTATGAGGAAAGATTAAAAAAACTGGGTATGTTTAGTTTTGAGAGGGAAAAAGACTGAGGGGGGACCTAACAACAGTCTTCAAATCTGTTAAAGGTGGTTATGAAGAGGACAGTAATCAGTTGTTCTCCACGTCCACTGAAAGTAGGACAAGTAGTGATGAGCTTAATCTGCAGTAAGGAAGATTTAGGTTAGATATTAGGAAAACCTTTCTAGCTATAAGAATAGGTAAGTACTGGAATAGGCTTCCAAGGGAAATAATGGAATACTCATCACTGGAAGTTTTTTAAGAACAGTTTAGACAAACATCATTCTGGGATGGAGTAGGTATGCTCGGTCTTGTCTCAGCACAGGGGGCTGGACTAGATGACCTGAAGATCCCTTCCAGCCCCACATTTCTGTGACTCTAAGTCATGTAGTCTCTCTGTGCCTTAGTTCCCTATCTGTAAAATGGAGATAATAGTCCTCCTTTACCTTATCGGGGTGCAGATAAATACGTTCAAAATTGTGAGGCACTTAGATACTTCAGTAACAGAGGGCATGTAAGTGTATTAGATAGACAGAACTCCTTGATCTCAGCTGCTGAACTCATTCACTACCTCCCTCCTTGCATCACATTCTAGTTTGGCTGAAGAAGAAGGATTTGGCCTAAAAGCACATGTTCACTAGAAAAAGAATTGTAGTTCGCACACTGCAATATTTTGAAATGAAGTGGGACTTCCATTCTGCTTAGTTTATAAATAGAGCTAGAAGTATATATACACCAACACCACACTAACACTCGTTGATAGTATAGATGAAATCTTTCAGAACCAAACCTCAATATAAATACAATATTTAACTTGAAAACATTCAAGATTAGAACCTTATTACTTTATATGCAAACTGATCCCTTAAAAAAAAAAAGTCAAGGAAATATCTGTATGCCACTTTCATATGCTAATTCTCCTGAAAGGGCTTCAGGAGACCTGTAGCCTGCACCTGAAGGGTCTATGGACTACAAACAACAGCACTTTGTCACTTGAACTTGAATCAGAACTTGAATCAGAAACCATGAACTTGAATCAGAAAGGATCTTTGTAACAAGTTCTTCTGCCTCCTGAGCACCCTTCATAGCCAGAGGTCAATCTGTGGAACCCCACCTCTGCTCCCTCCTTTTCAGGGCTCCTTACACAGACTTTTTCTGTGGTCAAAAGAACCCTCCTTGGGCTGTGGGTTTATGCACAGAAAGTAAACTCAAAATAAAACAAAGTCCAACAAACATGTTTTCTCAGGGTCTCCCCAGCCTCAGCAGGCCACCCCCAGCCCTTCCTAGATAGAGTCTTAGTCCCAAATCCCAAGACTCTGCTCGCTCCTGAAAGTCTCTACTCTCCCTAAGCACACACACATGCTTGCCACTTCTGAGTGCTTTTAATAGGGGAATCATCCGATTCCACTCTTTCAGTCAGCAGGGTTTGCTAGCCCCAGGCTCTCCAGCCCATACAGGGCAAGCCACCCTATAAAAAGAACTAAATGGGCTTCAGCTGGTTTCAGAAATGCTTACTGACCGCTGCAGAAGTTGCCTAATGCACATGCCATGTGTTCCTCAGAATACTCACCAAAGACTGTTCTTGCAGGTACAGATTCTCTGTTCAGCCAGAACGACACTTGGGAGAGAATGACTGTCATGATGCAGGGGAGGTAAGTCTGAATCACAAAATAACCAATTTTTCTCTTTAAGTGAAAATGAGCGGTCATTACTGTATATTCACCTAGTACGTGAAAGAGAAAAACAAAAAACCCTATAAAATGAACTATTAGCCTCTACAGACAATTCATTTTCCTGGCAATTAAAGGTAGCATGGTAAATCTATGTGAAACAAATGTGCTGTAGATATAGTCTACAAAACTATTTAGGCAGAAAAATCCTACTGAATGTAAATGAACTTTTTGACTTTGGCTCTGTGGGCTGTATCCTACTGTCACTGAATTCAAGGAAAGTGTTGTCATGGGGTTCAATGAGAGCAAACTTGGATCCAATATTTGTCCTGCACAATATATTCTAGAAGTGAATTTTTATACTGTATTTACAAAGAAAAAACTGTGTGCCATGACAAAGACCTTTGGTGATCTTGCATGTTCATACACGTGGGCAGATACTGGTGGACATGCAAAGCCCCACTGAAGTCAATAGGGCTCTATGCAGATGCAAGGGTCAACTACATGTATGAGCCTGTGGGACATACCAATAGGCAATGCTAATAATCCATTGTCCAGGAGGAAAAAAAAATCAAATCATACCATGAAGGTAGTAGACTGAAAATGACACTTCCCATCTTTCACCTTAATCAACGTTTGAGTTACAAAGATTCATACAAACCCTTGATATTAGGTTTCACGAGAGCCTTTTGGAAACGGCGATAGGGAACAGTTTACCTCCACTGCCACTTGTAATTTCATTAAGCTTCAAGGAATTAGCAAATTGTTTTTACAGGCTGCTCATAATATACAATATTACTGAAATGGAGTAATCTTATTACTGCCAATACTGGTTTTGGCAGTCTAATGACATAATACCATCAGCATCTTATGCTTATTATTATAAAGCAACTATCCTTTTCTTCCAATGCATTTTACTAACCTGTACTCGATTTAACTGTCTCCTTTCCAACTGTTTGGCCTAGCAAATCATACTGATTCAATCTAGAGCCATCCGGTGCAACCTGTACGGAATCAGATGCATTGTAAGTCCAAATGTAGGTCACTTCTGAAGTTGTGTATGCATCTATGGAAAATATTAAGAAAATATTTTGTCAGCATTTTAGAACAAAAAGTGTTCATGATTTGCAACTTCAGGGCGTAAATAATTAGGAGAACTATTTAATTATTATTATTAATAATAATAATAATAATAATTATTAGGAGAACTATTTAATTATTTTCCTAAAACTGCCATCATAGTCTAAGACTGATAGGGAAAAATAATATTTAAATTGCTTGAGAATATATAAGTATGCTGGCCTCACAGTATACATGCAGCACAGGACTATATATTGTTAATTTTCATTGATATAACCAACTGAACATTATTGCTGTTAAGTTACACGCAAAATCTGTTTATAAACTGTAAAAATATTCATTGGAGATTACTTATTAAATGTGCCCTAAAGCCTGAATTGGAGTGGGTGCCTGTGTCAATGATTTGTTATGTGTAGGACAGATTAACTTTCTGGAAATTTGTTTCTGCTTATCTATGGAGTCTGAAATGAGCTACAAGCTTTTCCTGCTTGTTTGACATTCATATCTAAATATGGTGGGTCTGCCTAACACTGCAACAAGAGTCACTGCGCCCTGCTGTTTCTGGGCCTGGTTTTTCTCCCTTAAATTTCACTCCATAACCGGGCCCCTCTGAAAGGAGTGGGACATGCAGACTGTTGGGGCTGCTCACACAGTCCACTTCAGAGGATAGCAAAAGAAAAAACCCCCCTTTGCCCAAGAGACTATGGAGAGGCCCCCCTTTTTTTCTTGAGGAGAGGAGGAAGCTATTCTGAGCCATTCAGCCTAACCAGGCACACTTGTAAGAACTCCGCCTGGAGAGGGAAGAAAAATGGACCCGGATAGCGAAAGGGAAAATGAAAAACCCCTAAGCTTATTTTGCCAGCTGGTCAAAACCCCCAAAAAAATTCACCCATCCTTGGAATGGCACTACTATACTGGGGAAGGGGGCCTTCCCAAAACCTTGCCCCCACTTCCTGGACAAGGTTTGGTAAAACTCCCAGTTGCCTAGGTGACAAGAGGAGACTTAAGAACAATGACAATCCTCCCAACACTTGCACCCCCTTTCCTGGGAAATGTTGGATAAAAAGCCTCACCAATTTGCATAGGTGACCACAGACCCAAACCCTTGGATCTGAGAACAATGAAAAAGATTCAGCACTTGTAAGAGACTGTAAAATCAGGATGGTAGATATCTTAGAATAGACTCAACACCTAGAGAACCCCTCTAGGCAAAACCTTAAGTTACAAAAAACACACAGCAGAAATAGTTATTCTTTCAGCACAATTCTTTTCTCAGCCATTTAAAGAAATCATAATCTAACACATACCTAGCTAGATTACTTACTAAAAGTTCTAAGACTCCATTCCTGTTCTGTCTCTGGCAAGAGCAGCACACAGACAGACACAAAACCTTTGTTTGTCTCCCTCCTCCCAGCTTTTGAAAGGGGTTGTACTAGTTACCCTAAGGTGAGAGGAGCCTGGACAGGAGGGAGAAGATTGCTACATCTCAGAGACTGCTGACCACAGAGACAGATCAACCAAGAGGGAGACAGTCGCAGGTCTCACTGCCCTTGAAACCACCTGGACAAGTTCAAAAGCAGGGTACCCTAAGAGAAGAAGCTGTATGTAGACCCTAATTAAAGACACAATACCAGCTGATAAGCCAAGCCCCAAAGGGGTGACCCCAAAAGACTGCCTAAGAGACAGTCCACCTTTGCCTTTCTTTTCTTTTACTCTGATTCCCCTCTCGCTCAAGGGAAAGAGAGAGAAAAGGACCTTTCTTTCGTTTGTTTGATTTTATTTGGAGAACCCCTCATGAGCTGCAAACGGGGAAGGACATTATAAACAACTTAAATTGGGGTCTTCTGGGGGCTCAGGGGAGCCCCAACCCTCCCACAGGAACTTTATTGCAAAACTAATAGCACTGCCAACATAAACTAAAAATAAAAGGAACTAAAACTGCCAGCATTAATGCATCTTCAATGATTGGGAGACAGGAAAAGATGAGTATGTTCAGCAATTCTAGCTTCCCTTAAAGGTGGATGCGGTCATACAGAGTGTGAATGTGTTATTCTATGTGTTGTTAGGACACTGGCTTAACACTTGCTGCATGGGATGCCTGGGGCTGTTTATTATACAAGAAGTAGGTGAGTGTTTCAAGCCAGGGGTGCAGCACTGAGCAAGACATGAAGAGCAGAGTGGGAGAAAGTACAAAGGAAACAGTAGGAGGGAGATTTGTGCAGAACAAAGGCCACGAGACGGGAAAGATATTTCCATTGCAATAATAGAAGCTGTACACAACACTTAGCAAGTGATTCAGAAAAACTGTCCATGTAATCCAAATAAAACCACCAAGGGGAATAAAATTCAAGAAATAATATAATCCTGTCCCTTACATTTATTTTGTCAAAGAAAGGAACATACTTTTCCAGTTTGATATCCCCAATCAGCAAATGGGGCGTGAAGAGAGGAGGCTAAAGCATTGATGGAAGAAATCATATTCAGAGTCTGATAGTGATAAGTAAATTTAAATCCTATGCTGTGGCTATAGTGCAGGTGGAGAAAGAAATACAACATATCACCTAGCTGAGTTTCAGTCATTTTCATTTGAGAAAGCTCTAGAGCTCATGGAGGAGCTAATGGCTAATAAAATCTAGCAGAGACCAAAATTGCAGAGACTGTTAACACTTCCCTGAAGGATAGTGTGTTGCCAGCTTCCTACATATATGCTGCTGGAAGTCTCTTGCCTGACAAATCACCATTACAGTCTTGTCCCTAACCTTCCCATTTAGGGTTAGGTTATTGAGAAGCATGAAGTAAGGCAATTCTGGTATCATCTGTTATCCTATGATTTCTCTGATTCTTTCACTTTGGTTTTTGTTCTGAGTATGGCAGAGAGATTGCAACAGTCTTGCTGGTTGATGATCCTCCTAGTGATAGACAGAGGATGCACGTTTACGCTGCAATAAAAGACCCGCAGCACAGCTGCAGCTAGCCCAGGTCAGCTAACTCGGGCTCACAGGGTTTGGGCTGCGGGACTATAAAATTGTAGTGTAGCCATTTGGGCTTATGCTGGAGACGAGACTCCGAGACCCTGCAAGAGGGACGGATACCAGAGCCCAGTTCCAGCCTAAGCCAAATTCTACACTACAATTTTATAGTCTGGCAGCCCAAGTCAGCTGACCCACGCCAGTCACTGGTCTTCTACTGTAGTGTAGACATACCCTAAGTGTCCATTCTGATTTTTTTTAGGCTCGTCGGTACCCTTTGATAATAATGCTGATCGTGATAAGAACCCAAGAACCCTAGTTGGCACAGCCAGACTCTCTTGAGCTTTCCTCATACAGAAATTCCAGACAGTAATGTTCGACACTGAGTTCAATGGAGCTATGCTGATTTACACCAACTGAAGATTTGTCCTCATATGTGTAAACCACAGGCCCTCAAGCACTCAGCTTTGTTTTTATAATTATTCAGTAGTTTTTTCTTTGTTTTCTCTCCCTCATTAAAAACGGAAATATACATGGGACTCTAGAAATGATTTTAATGTAGAGAAATTAAACAATGAAAAAAGTAAGAGTAAGAACAAGAGAGAGAGAGACGGAAAGTGGGCATACGCAAAGACGTGTGAGAACTTCAGCAGTTCTGTAGCAGTGGGAGCTGCCATCTGCAGGAAAAGAGAGTCAGCTTTTCAAAAGAGAAAATATTGTGAACAGGTTTCAATTCTTCCTCTTCCTACAGAACCCGAAGCCTGGGAGGATGCCAAATAAACAAAATAAGCACTACCACTGTCAGACACAAAACAATTCAATTACCAAAAAGCAGAAGAAACTCACTCAGTCTAACATATTCAGTTCCAGACAGACACGTTTCAAACCGCTGTGTACAAATGAAGTACAGCTATACAGTGATAGCCTTGTCCAAGTATATATTTCAATGGGTTTGTTTCATGTTTTGGGATTACCTCTAGTTTTATACTTTCCCTTTGGCATTCAGCCTTTCATAATACTTTGTCTTCAGACCAGTTCACTGCTATATAAAACTTGTTATTTTACTACTACACCTGGCAAATATGCATTTATTTGTACCCCAGATCCTGGGCGCTCTCTCTGCACACAGACAGCACTGGCTGCAAGACCCATATGCTATTATTTCTTAGTTGATTTTATGTAAGACTTCTGGGGTTATGTTGTTATGTTACGTAGTTTGGGTAACACATAGCTAAATTAGAATATAAAGCAAAAGATTACTTCCGCAAGAAAGAAATTTTATATGTATTCAAAGTAGGCTTGTAAGAGTCGACCCTACTCAGTCCTCACCAGGCACAATAAAAACTCCCTGTATCTCTCCAACCGGGGATTCTCCCGCATGGAGATGATCCCAGAGGGCATGGACCTAGTGCAGCCTATTCCTATGTCTTTTCCCCATACACTCCTGGGGAAGGGGACACATCAGAGGCATGTACAGGGCTTTGACACTGCCTAGCTTATGAACCAAATTACCCCTTTAGTTACCACCCGGTGGAATGTGGGGGTTGCTTTGTACTCTATTAGGCCAGTGTGAAATCAGCCAGAGAATCAAACAGCAGTAACCAACCCCTTGAAATTCACCTTCTGTTTTGTGCCCAGCAGTGAATCTGCTGCTATCTCTTAAAGGAAAATAAATGCAAGAAACCAAGGAGAGAGATACAATATTTAAAAAGCCCCAACTACTATAAAATATGGGCCTGATTCTGATCTTACTTATAGCAGGAGTAATGCCACTGAAGTTCATAAAGTTATGCTGGTATAAAAGTGGTGTGAGATCAGGATCAGACCCTACATATTAAACTACAAAATGTATACTGTAACTTTAATCTCAATAAGTCATTTGCTGCAGCCTTCACTGACTAAGAATGAAACAACACATACCATTAAGAGAGAAAATGCACTGCATTCTAAAGTATGCCAGTTAGAATCTTTAGAAACTTCATAGATATATTTCTGAATATGTATCTTTGTTTAGAAGGATTTAGTTTACTTTGTATAAATACAATATTTATATGTCATACACACAGGTCTTGATTCACCACTGTGTGACTGAAAATAACAGAGTTACACTAGCATAAAACTGGAACAGTGCAGTGGTAAATTAGCCCTATAATATTTTTAGTTAAAGCAGAGTCCAGGAATTATTCAAATGCCTTACTGGATAGATCACTGAAAAAGATCTCAGCATGTCAAAATACATGATACAGTATAACCTTCTGTGCCTAATAAACCTGGGCAATGACAATTTGTGAAACAAAGTGATGTTGAACCACACAAGATATTCATTAGCCAACAGCTATACTTCTAGCTATGTACTTACAGCTGCCAAATTTCAATGGGCATGAATGAGCATCCATAGGAAAGTCCTCCAAGTGCATTGGACATTCAGCTTGGACTGTAAGCCTAAAAGGCAACACACAACTATATGTTTAAGTCAGTTAACAAGACAAGAAAATCAATTCCACAAAAAATGAACAGAGTTCATGCTGATTAAGGAGATGAAGCTGATTAAGGAGATGAAGTTGCAGTGTTATATTAAACTAATTAAAATTTAAATCACCTCTTGCTTCTTCACTTTTTTGTGGTCCTTCAGAAGACATTGATTTATCACATCAAAAACTTGCAGCTGACCTCAAAACTATGAGGAAAGGCCATTTAAATGAAAACATAAATTATATAACGGCAGGTTGTTCTGCATAGTCATTTTCTTCTCTTAATATTCAGAGGCACATGCTATATGGCTCCCAATAATGTGTTACAAAAGCACATAAAGCATAGCTGGATTTGCTCAAGGAATGTGCTCCACTAGCCTCTGAACATTTGGGGTTTTTTTGACTTCTTAAATGGAAAGTGAAAAAATGGCTCTCCCCATTCCTCAGCTGACTACAGTGCACACACTAATGCCAAAACGTTAACAATAAATACATGGAATGTCCTGAGCACCATGCTTACATCAAACTCAAGGACAAATGTAATTTGAAAAATCTGAAATAAATTATTCCAAATGTTTTAATCTGGATTAGTTTTGATTCAACACTAAACTGCATGAATGGACAGGTCACCAATACAGACCATCTCTAGCTATAGTAAGTCATGAAAAGAATAAATACTAGTAATCACAGACTGAAAAACAAAACTGTCTATTTTAAAGCATGCACCTTAATTTCCATCACATAGGTTTAGTGCTTCCTTTAGCTTTATTTTCTCAAAATTCATAGTCAGAAGTTAAGCAGAAGGCTTGTATTAATCATATGGTAATTTGAGACATGTACAATAGCCAGTTCTGAATTTATAAAATTACAGTAGTTTAAGACATGAATTTCACAGCTTCAGGAGCAACGTATCTCTAACTAGTTGATTTATAATTGTACACAACTGCATGATTAGTTTTATTTGGCATAATCTGTCGGTTTACATTAGCTGCCTCTTTTTCTAATCTCTTCGAATTGGGTGGAAACAGCATTTTCTTTGATTTGCCGCACAGGATTAGAGACAAGTTTCTGGTCGGTTGACATTTCAGTCAGTTAATACAAACATGGATTCAAATATTGATTTGATCACAAGTGAAAATACTATAAATGGTGGTAGCCTCAATTTAGTTCCTAGTAAACTTTTCTATGCATCTTCAAACCATCACATAATTCAATATGATTAGCAGTCTATTTATGAAGACTCAGAAGTGTAACTGCTTGGCAGCTGTACAGCAAATCAGGATTAAGGTGCTCTGGCAGAGCTGTATGGGGAAGACTGCAATGTACCTGATTGCTTTATGGCTCATGATTTATGCCTTACTGTACCTAGGGAGATGGAGTCCACTTTCACAATCAGTACAATTCATTAAATTTGTTCAAAGAAAATCATTTAAAAATAAGTCAGAGATTTTTGGAAATTGTTATACAATGGTTTTAAACTAGGATAGCCAACTTTCTAACTGCACAAAATTTAACACTCTAGCCCCACCCTTTCTTTGAGGCCCCGCCCCCTACCCGCCCCCTTCCCCAAGGTCCTGCCCCCCCTCACTACATTCCCTCTCCCTTGGTGGCTTGCTCTTCCCCCCCTCACTCACTTTCACTGGGCTGGGGCAGGGGGTTAGGGCTCTAACTGGGGGTGCAAGCTCCGGGGTGGGGCCAGAAATGAGGGGTTCAGGGTGCAGGAGGGGGCTCTGAGCTGGGAGTTGGGGTATGGGAGGATGGTACAGGCTCTGGTGGGGTCAGGAATGAAGGGTTAGGGTGCAGGAGGAGGCTCCAGGCTGGGGCCAAGGGATTCAGAGTGTGGGAGGAGGCTGCAGGTTGAGGAATGGGGTTGGGGTGCAGGAGGGAGTATGGGCTCTGGGCTGGGGCTGAGGGATTTGGTGCAGAAGGGGGCTCCTGTTTGTGGGGGGCCCAGGGCTGAGGTAGGGGGTTGGGGCTCGGGATTGGGGCCTGGGCTTACCTGGGTGGCTCCTGGTCAGCAGTGTAGTGGGGCTAAAGCAGGCTTCCTGCCTGTCCTGACTCCGCATTGCGCCCTGGAAGCAGCCAGCAGGTCCGGCTCCTAGGTCGGGGCAGGTGGGCGGACGGGGGGGGCGGGGGGAGGAGGCTCCACACGCTGCTCTTGCCTGCAGACACCGCCTTCCCAGCTCCCATTGGCTGCAGTTCCTGGCCAATGGGAGTGCGGAGCTGGTGCTTGGGCAGTGTGTGGAGCCCTGTGGCCTCCCCACCGCCGAGGAACCAGACCTGCTGGCTGCTTCCAGGGCGCAGCACGGTGCCAAGTAGGAACTAGCCTGCCTTAGACCCTCAGCACCACTGACCGGACTTAACGTCCCAGTTGGCGGTGCTGACCGGAGCAACCAGGATCCCTTTTCGGGTCACCCAGCAGGGCAGTGATAGAGATGAGACTAAGACACAGGTCTCCTGAGTTCCAGTCCAGAGTTGTATCCATGAGGCCACAAGTGAAGCAAAAGCGTAACTTGGAGACTGAAAATGATGTGTAATTTCCTATTTCCATATTCTATTGCAATACTGTTACTTGTCCTGGCCTGTTTAAAACGACTGCATAACAATTTCCAGAAACCTCTGACTTACTCTTAAATGATTTTCTTTGAACATATTTAATGAATTGCACTGACTGTGAAAGTGGACTCCATCTCTCCAGTTGGACTAAGGCATAAAGCATGAGCCATAAAGCATTCATTCCTTAGAAAAGCCATGTAAATAAATACTGTGAATACAAACAGATAAAAAGACATACCTCATGGTATACAAGAGAGTTCCATCATCCTGGATTCGTAGTAGTTTGTTTGGCATTGTCATGTTATGAGCTACTGACTTCTTCCCATTGTGAAAGAATGTGTCTGGGGTCCAGATCTTGCTAGCCATTAAGTTGTTCAGGCGAAGGATGTTCATTGGGCCTTTAAACTTTAACCTCTCATCTTTCCATTTTTGACGGAAGAAAACATCTATTGTGTACTCCTATAATGGAAAAAGACATTATTTTTGTCATAATGAACATCAGTCTGTTTTCCAAGCACAGAACACTAAAATGCTGGTTTTATAAAATCTGTTAATAAAAGTATTTGAAGGGGAAGAGTGGTCAACAACTATAATTGTATGATATCGAGATTAATGAAGAGGAACTGAGAGAAAGCATTTAGGGTCTATGTGCCCTTACCAAGGGGAGTGTAGAGTAATGCTCATTAACCTTAACAGACATGCTACATTAGTATATATAAGCCCTAATGATTAGATGACTGTAGTGCAAATTAGTTTTCATAAACAGTTTTGCATTTTGTTCTGAAGAAATGAAGATCAATACAGACCAAATTAGAATGCCTTTCTGCGGCAAACATGCCTGTAGAAGTAGGCCAGTACTTCAGTAGCACTAAGAATGGCCATGTTTTGAGCCAAGAAAACAAGCATGTTCAGAAAGGGCAGGATATATCCAGGAACATTAATATAAGAAAGATTCTTCCCAAGGGAAAAACATGTAACAAGGCTGTTGAATAATTATGGGCTTGATTAGCATAAATACATAGAGAGGGAACAGTGAGTTATACTACTTCACTGACATCTGATGAACAAAAGGGGGCAGACTGTCTGCTGAAATCCATGCCTATGAAGGGGCTGATAGAAGTATGCCCTGGTGTTTAATCTTGGGAGGAATTTGATGTTCTACTTCCAGGTGCATGAGTCACTAACTGCTATCCCACTATTCTATAGATATTCTGTACACATTTTTAGGATTGTTGTTTGTTCCAGTGAAGAAAAATACTGATTAAAAGTATGAGTATATCAAGTACGTTAAAATTGTATGTGCAAATTATCGAGTGGTTTGTAACTATCAGTACTGCAGATAAGATGGAATTTTAAGGACATGAAAATTTTATAGGCATAAAACTGTAAATCATGCAGTTGCAATATTACATCTTCTGGTGCAGCAGCAGTTTTGTTGTATCGCTGCAAAATGTAGCTGTACATTTAAAATAATCAGTATGTTCCAATAATCTGTTCTATTGTAATTACTTTGCAAATACTACACTTTATGGAGATAATCTTATGTGCACATTATGCTTGAATGACAATTAAATGTCCTCTTATAATCCAATCAGAATAAAAAATGAGTTAAAAGTAGTTTGTTACTACACCTGCCTCTGCCACTTTCAGTTGTTATAGAGGTGTGTGTGTGTGTGTGTGTGTCTCCCTCCAACCCCTCTGCAAAGCCCCATGCAAACAGAGGAAACTCACACAGGCCCTGATCCTACAAGCAGCTCTGTGTCCACATGGACCTTCAATGGGGCTCTCTTTCAGGGGTCCATCTGCAAAGAGCTGCTTGTAAAAATCGGGACCTACCGGACTGTATAGAGCAAACAACAAAACTAGTTCTACAAATATGAAAAAAGTAAATGAACTGAAAAAAAGAGATTTCCATTTACAGATATTGTAAAATTAGCAATTAAATATTTTTTCAGGCAGATGTGTGAGTTTTAATTTAATGGTATCCCTTTAAAATTTCCTCCCAAATCCTTACAAGAAATTTTGCTAAATGCAGCTACTGAATGAACCAAACTGCTGGTGAGTGATTTGATACATAGTTTTAGTATCAAAATAAAATTCATTTCTGTACAAGTTGCAAAGTTTCTGTTGACTGAATCCTAGTATCATTTATACAAACCAATGACTGAAGAAGTGGATCTTGGAAGTTGACAGAACTTCCCTACAACGGGGAGAGGTAGAGATGGGAGATCAGGCCTTTGACAAAACTCTCACACTGGCCTTCTATGTTTGTTTACAAATACTAGTGAAGATGGGGGTACCTTGTGGATTTCAGCCAGGGCAGAACCATGCTGATTTAAGATCACGGGCAGGAACTACACACCTGGGGTGAAATCCTGGCCCTATTGAAGTGCCACTGATTTCAACAGGACCAGGATTTCATTCGGATGATCTGCATACAGAAGAGGAGCTATGGAAAATACTGTCCCAAGCACATAAACATAAAAACATTCCTAGGACATCATCCTTCATAAAAAACAACAACAACTATGTGGTGCCTGCAATGTACCACATAGCACTCTTGGCAACATTAGCACTCAATAAAGTGAGGAGCTGAAGGCACTGAGCTGAGCCAGGCACAGTAAGAACAAGCACTGGGAAACTTCCTCAGTTTTGCCAGTGCAATCCAACCCTGACCTGCTATTCTGAACCAGTAAACATCCTTATCTGAACAGCCACAACTCATACAGAATATTCTAAAACTACAAGAAGAGTTGTGGGGAGTCTGATGTGTAAATCATAAATCCAAATCTAAAGGTATTCCCTTATTTTTCCTGAAAAAAGGAAATAAAAAAACACAGGCATGTGTAGGCAAAAGAAATATTGTTAATTAGTAACCTTATGAAATTAGCAAGTGTTCTTGGGCAGAGAAAGCGCATATAACATGACAATTCCCACTTGCAATATCCCTACTTTCTGCAGAGGTAGACGCAACCACCTAGTTCAGTGGAACTAGTGTGAGAAACTCTCAACCAGGTATTTGTAATACACCATATCTATTACAAATATTGGGCTTGTGATTTAACAAAAAGTGGACTAGTAAGATGCACACAACATGAAATGCAAAAGGAAGCAAAATCAGAACTTCAAAATCAATTTGACTTTGAATTTACTAAAATGCTTTATTACTCCTGGAATCATATAGCTGAAACCTTTATGGCTACCATGTCACTGCATTCATGCAGGGCCGGAGAGAGGAAGACACAAAGGTAACTATCCCAGAGCTACACTGAATATACCCCAGATAATGGTTTACCTTTCACTTATTAGTTCTATTTCCTCTGATGCTACCTTCTATTTGTAATCATAAAAAGAAAAAGCTGGCTTAAATCCACAAGTAACTCCATCTTCCTTAGTATTTATAAAACATATTAAAACCTGGAAAATTGTGTCAAATCATACTGCCATATTTTCTCCCTTAATATGCATACCTTATATAACTTTATTTTATCGGCCAATGTGTTTCTCCTCCAGTAGCTGCTACATGTTTCAGAGTTTGCTGTAAGTACATTTATATCTTTTGGTATGGTACTGCCTCTGACTTTTTGCTGAATAGGAGACTAGTCTCAAATATGGTGGGACTTCTTTTAAAATACTCTATTTAAACATTATTTATTAATGAGTGCTCCCATGAAATTAAGATGTGCCATAGTTTCCAAGATACTATTATGTTTTAGGTTACGAACACCTGGCCTTTGTAGCAGTGAGGAAAGGACATATTTCTCAAATATTTAATGTATGACAAGAATAAGGTAAAAGGCCTCTGTTCTTTTCTGTAGACACTCCCTCATTACTCCCTTTCCCCTATGGCAGGCCAGGGTGAATTGTCCTGAACGTTTGGCTGCTAAATTTCTTGTGGCTCAAGAGCCTATTTAGAAATCCCAGGTTGCCTAATACCCCTCAGTTATCAGATATCTGAAAGTCAGAGGAGATCAAGAGCAGGAACTATTCATTGATGAGAGGAATATGTGAAACCTAGCTATACATGCCAGGTAATTCAGAAATGACAATTGTCCAAAAAGCTTCAAGATGATTTTCAACTGAGGTTCTGCCCAGTTCCAAATTGAGAAGCTGTACTAAGTATTCAAGAGAAGAAATCACTGCTGTGCATTAGAAGATTAGTCCTTGAGCCATACAGATGTGATTTCAGGCTGGTATTTTCAAAGGAGCCTAAGGGAGTTACACATTGAAATCCCATGCAAATCAGGTACCTAATTTCACTAGGTTCCTTTAAAAATATCTGTCTGCATATACACAAATAGAAATGTCTGCCTCCACTATTTCTAGTGTGTCCATAAACAAAATATATTAAGGGTCCTGTTCATCACTGCATTGCATCTTGCGTACACAATTATATATATGTGCAAATCAGAATAGCAGCATTTTATACACAGTTCACACAGATGGAAACAGTCTACGGAAGATGCAAAGTAGGGGAAAATCAGAGCCTTAAAAACATTCTTCTGGCAAATTTGTCAAGCTCTATAGCTAATTCTAACCTCTCTGAGGTTAAGGGCAAGTTTCCCCTCTTCCATCCATACAGTTGCATGGTGTTCTGTGCAGAACATGGAATAGAGCAGGGATTGAGCCACATCATCATGAGTGTCTCTCGTGGTCAACCTCCTTGCCCATTTGCAATCACCTGGACCAATTCCTACCCTATCCATAATCATATAATGTCCCCATGGCAACTTCAGCACTTAGACTGGAAAAATAATATTAGGTAAGTATTTTGGCGGTCTTTAGTGTGATAAATGCTTTGTCCTTTTTGACTAAAGTTAATCCATTTGTTTATTCATTTCATTGCCCTTTTCCATCTTTTCTGTTTCTGAACTTGAGCCAAAAAAAAAAAAAAAAGAGTCAGCACAAGCCAACTCTTGGTGGACCCCCAGTAAGTATTCTACCTACCACAGCATAGGAACCACTGCAACAGAAGATCAAAAAGGATAACTTTCCCCCCAAAACATGCAGCCTGAGGGGAATGGATGGTATGTAACGTGATATTCCTTGTGTTGCTCTCTCCTACAAATCTGGTCCTCTATATTGTTATACAGAGGACTGAAATATTTGGGCACATATGCAAGTCTGCAATTATTGAAACACAGTGGTCTCCAGCAAAAAAGTCAGCATTTGCCAAAAGACACCACACATTTACAGAATGCTTTCCTCGTCTAAACAGAAGGGGAAACTGTGTTCTTAGATACCACTATATGGTAGCGAATGGTAAACACTTCCTAAAGCAGACTAATGCTTTGTATAAATGCAGAGATGGACTCTACAAAAAAAGAGCCTTAAACTGATACCTTGAATTTGTATTGTAAATTTTACAGGTACTCATTCATCAAGAAAGATGTATTGTCTATATACTCGGTATTAGTCAAAATATTATTCAGCACAGTACCTCCATTAAAGTAGAAGAG